AGACCCCCACTGTACTGGTCCATTCATCCACCGCTGTCTCCGTTACACTCCCAGTTATGCACAGGAGACTCGGGCATTTGCCAGGAAGGCAGCTGGGAGCCACTAGAGAGAGCTCCCACTCTGTTATGCCATGAACCACCTTAGAGCTGTGCGGCCATAGCGAGCAGTAGTGGTGGCAGCTGCTAACTTGATCTGCGTGCGGGCTGGTGGAGGGAGGTGGTTTCTGATCCCCGCTTGCTCACATGACTCCAGCAGATGGAGCTTTAGAAAGAGCAAACATGACAAGGTCCAAGGTAAGATCAGAATATCTGTCACAAGAAAGCAGTTTGTCTGGTAACATCTGGGGGTCGCAAGAGCATCAGGAGTAAAGATTATAAAGGCTTATTCACAGACCCCCACTGTACTGGTCCATTCATCCACCGCTGTCTCCGTTACACTCCCAGTTATGCACAGGAGACTCGGGCATTTGCCAGGAAGGCAGCTGGGAGCCACTAGAGAGAGCTCCCACTCTGTTATGCCATGAACCACCTTAGAGCTGTGCGGCCATAGCGAGCAGTAGTGGTGGCAGCTGCTAACTTGATCTGCGTGCGGGCTGGAGGAGGGAGCTGTTTTCTGGCTCTTGCAGGAGGTGAGGGCAGGATCTCCAGCAGCAGCTGTTGGCGCCTGGCAGAGGAGCACACCTCAACCTGCCAGGCAGGTGTGCTGAGTCAGGTTGCAGGTGCAGGGTGGGGTGGATGTAGGGTAGGAGACGTGATGTCTGGTGAAGGAAGGAGGTGGCGGTCTTGGGGATTTTGGGAGGGGGCCTTCTGTGAGTAGGAGGGGCACTATGGTTTGTAGGTTGCAGATGGAGTGAGTATGTTTTGTGGGGTGAGCATTGCAAGGATGGGGGACACAGGCGGCTGAGGCAGATGAAGTGGAAGCTGAGAGCTGCTTGCACTAAATATAGGGCAAGTGGGTAGCTCCTGCCATGGCTGCTGTTGGGAGGGGGAATGAGCAACCTGGGTCTGAGAAACACTATGTCAGAGTGGGAGGGCAAACCCTTGGGGTGGAGACAGCCGTGCTGGGACATAGCAACCAGCTCTGACACACTGCCAGCCTAGGGCAGCTTAAAACACTAAAGAGGCAACTATCAAACTGTCTTGCTTTGATTAATAAAAAAAATCAGATGAACATGGCTCTCTAGCCCAGTAGGAGGCACATGATCCTCAGAGGTTGTTTTGGCAGTGTCACCCTGCCAGCATCACCACCCTGGGTTCCAGTGGGAGAACTGCGGGACAGCTTCTGGGCTGGTGGTACAGGGCAAGAGCTGTGGCCAGGATGGCTGTGCCTGGTTTCCAGCAAGCTGTTGAGAGGAGAGGGATCTTGCAACCCGACCTTGGTCCCTGCAGACACCTGCTGAGGCCAGCTGCAGTTGTAGCAGTGCCATAAATCTCAGGCTAGGAGGCTATAGCCAGGTTTGGCATCAGTGGGCACGGCTCGGGGCTTGCTGTTGGCAGTCCTGCCTGGCCATGGGTAAGGAGAGGCAGAGTACTGCCATCTATTGCCAGGCACCTGGATTACAGACCTTGGTAGGTGGCAGCTCAAAGCCATATCAGCTTTTTATTTCTGGTCTTTGGGTGTGAAGGGAAGGACATGTTGTTGAAACCCTTTAAATGGATCAGTGCTTAGGTGTCTGCAGTGCCTTACAGGTATGTGAGTGCCCCAGTCAGACTCCAGGCTGGGAGAATTCGAGATTTTTCTTTGTGCTTTTTACAAAATAAATTATTCTTCCTTTCCTGCCCTAAGTTGTGTGAGGTTACTTTGTGCAGGGAAGCAACTGTGTTGCTCCGTTCCATCCCAGAAGCACCTAAATCATTTATCCCAGCCCTCCACCAGAAGGCAACTAAGGAGAAGTGGATGCAGCAGAAGGGGCAAGACTGTCTTTCATAGCTCAGAAAAGATATGTGAAAGGAGGGTGAAGGGGCAGAGGGAGGACAACAGACTGTCTTCATGGAATGAGCAGGCCTGGGATGGGGTGTATATTTCTGAGCTAATACTGGTATGTCTGGTTACTGTATTTTTATTTTACAGGATAAGCAGTGAGACAGGAAAACTTGCAGAGAAAAGGGAAGGTCTTTGTCACCATGCAGACCTGGAGACAATCCTGCAGTGCTTTCAAAAGACCTTCTTGGGCTTGATGACCATAGTAGGCCAGCAGACAAAATACTCTGAAGACCAGGGCAGGGTTATTAAAAAAATGGTCTGGCTGCCATTGTGAGCTATTCAGTGAAGACAGCAACTCACTATAAAATTGGTTTAAAAGCAAAACAACAAAAAAAGAAAATTAGGATAAAGAAGCAACAGGAGAAAAAATGTGCTCAGCATTTGTCATTGAATGTATCAATAATGCTTGCTCCTCATGCACATTCTGTTTCTTTGTCATCACCTATTTTCAGAAGTAATTGGTGGACCACTGTACTGGACCAAAGAGACCACAAAAAGTAGAGGATAAGAGTAATACTCAGATGAGAAGGTAAAAAAAAATTTTGTGTATTAGAGGAAAGTCACAGCAGATGTGATAGACCTATCCCACAGATTGTTTTACATTCCTCAGTCTTGTGACTCTGATACAAAACTGATGAGGAAGCCAGTTGGCTAGTCTGAACTGGATACTTAATGTACAGGTGGAAAGTGTTAGATGAAGTGAGGGTCACAAAGGAAATTAGTGACAAAGCAGGGAATTAAATCAGGGTCTCTGAAGTCTAAAGCCCTGGAATTGTCTTGCCTTTTAAAAGTCTTAGAGAAAAAAGGCACTAAACTGATACAAGTAAATGGTAATTTTACTGAAAATATGACAAACCTGTGGAAGTCTTCCCTGCTTAGGTGTCATCAGTTTGGTAGTGCAGTGGGACTCAAAAAGAGAAGGATTTGGCGGTTACGTGAATGACACGAATACTTGTGATGACTTTGGCTAGGAGAAAACAGTAAAGTGTGCTACAAGGCATAAGTCAACTGCTGGCTGTCAGGGACCAGGAAGACATTTTTCTCTGTGAGAAGGTTACTGTATAATTACCTATGACAGTGTTTCTCACTTTGAAGTGTTTAATCTTGACCAGTGGAAGCAAGATAACAGATCACGTAGTTTTGTAAAATTTTTTTTGTGACAGGGCTCTCATCTCCTTCTAGGACAGGGTGACCCACTTGGTGGATGAGGGAAAGGCTGTGGATGTAGTATACTTTTACTTCAGTAAGGCCTTTGATACTGTTACCTACAGCATTCTCGTGGAAAAACTGGCTGCCCTAGGGCCTGGACAGGTGTACACTCTGCTGGATCAAACATTGGCTGGATGGCTGGTTAAATCCAGTTGGCAGCTGGTCATAAGTGGTATTCTGCAGGGCTCAGTGCTGGGGTCACTCCTGTTTAGTATCTTTATTAATGACTCTGACAAGGAGATTGAGAGCACCCTCAGTAAGTTTGCAGACGACACCAAGTTAGGTGGGAGTGTTGATCTACTCGAGGGTAGGAAGGGTCTTCAGAGGGACCTGGACAGGCTGGATCAATGGGCTGAGGCCAATCATAGGGGCTTCAACAAGGTGAAGTGCCAAGTCCTGCATGTTGGTCACAACAATCCCAGGCAATGCTACAGGTTTGGGGAAGAATGGCTGGAAAGCTGCTCAACAGAAAGAGACCTGGAGGTGTTGAGCAGCAGCCAGCTGAATGAGCCAGCAGTGTGCCCAGGTGGCCAAGAAAGCCAACAGCATCCTGGCCTGCATCAGGAACAGTGTGACCAGCAGGTCTGGAGAGGTGGTTGTCCCCTGTACTGTGCACTGCTGAGGCTGCACCTTGAGGACTGTGTTCAGTTGGGTGCCACAGTATAAGAAGGACATGGAGGTGCTGGAGCAGGTACAGAGAAGGGCTACAAAGCTGGTGAGCTTATCTTGAGGATAAGTCTTATGAGGAGGAGTGGCTGGGGGAGCTGGGGCTGTTTAGTCTGGAGAAAAGGAGGCTGAGGGGAGACCTTATTGCTCTCTACAGATACCTGAAAGGAGATTGTTGAGAGGCAAGTGATTAAGGGAGTGGAACCACTCCCTTATGAGGAAAGGCTGAGGGAGCTGGGTCTCTTTAGCTTGGAGAAAAGGAGACTGAGGGATGACCTCATCAATGTTTACAAATATGTTAAGGGCGAGTGTCAGGACCATGGAGCCAGGCTTTTTTCAGTGATGACCAGTGATAGGACAAGGAGTAATGGATGCAAACTGGAGCATAGGAGGTTCCATGTGAATATCAGGAAGAACTTCTTTACTGTGAGAGTGACAGAGCCCTGGGACAGGCTGCCCAGAAAGGTTGTGGAGTCTCCTTCACTGGAAACATTCAAAACCCTCCTGGACATGTTCCTGTGTGATGTACTCTATGTGATCCTGCTCTGGCAGGGGGGTTGGACTAGATGATCCTTCGAGGTCCCTTCCAACCCCTAAGATTCTGTGATTCTGTGAAGTGCCAGTCTTCTCACAAGTAACAAGTGATAGGGCAAGAAGAAATGGCTTGAAAGTTCTACCAGAGGAGGTTTAGCCTGGATATTGGGGAAAATTCTCTTCACAGAAGGGGTTGTCAAGCACTGGAACAAGCTGCCCAGGGAAATGGTAGAGTCACCACCCCTGGACGTGTTTAAAAGTTGTGAAGATATGGTGCTTAGGGACATGATTTAGCAGTGGACTTGGTAGAGTTAGGTTGATGGTTGGACTTGAGAATCTTAAAAGTCTTTTTGCAACTTAAATGATTCTATGATTATCTGGTGTCAGATGGCAATTTCTTCCACCTGTTTGGTATCACACCTTTATCCAGGGTTATGTTCACCTTCTTAAACGTCTCAAGCAAACACAAAAAAAAGCTCAGTACCCTCCATGGAAAAATTTTTGAAGGCAGCAGTCCTTGACGGGAGCTAATTCTTCTTGCCATTATTGCTAGATTTTGTCTTGCTCATGTTTGCTCCAGTTCTCCTGGGTGATTTTCCAGAAATTACCTCAAGGAAGCCCTCTGTTGCTGGGGCTGTAGCCCTAGCTCCCATGTCTGCTCCTGCTTATTGTCTGAGCTGTCCCATCTCTTGCGGTCTCATCTCTCTTGTTCTGTAATCTGTGCCTTCCCACCTCTTAGATCCAGTCTACAAGTTAAATGTGTTATTTTTTAAAGCTGTGCTGCTGCTCTTCCAGGTAACTTGATGTATTTTGTATCTCTTACTTTGTGTCTTGCAGGAAGAGCCAAGGAGCAAATCCAAGATCTGTGCTAATGTTTTCTGTGGAGCTGGGCGGGAGTGCACAGTGACTGAGAAGGGAGAGCCGACCTGCCTCTGCATTGAGGTAGGGGGAAAGTACAGCTTCTGCACCTGGGACAGGTGCCACCACCACCCCCTGGCTGGGTTTCTGTTGCTGGAAGGATCCCATGATGGCTACAGCCCTTCAGGAGCAGCTGCAAATTCACAGTGGCTCTTCAAACAGCAGGGCCTTTCACAGTGTGGTGCCAGGGAGGAAGCCTGTAGGGTTGACATTGTCTGGGGCTTGCAGCTGTTCTCCTCACACAACTGCCTAGGGTCTGTACATGCACAGGAGACTTGGCTGGACGTGTTTTGTTGGGAAAACCCAGTAGCCCAAATTGATATGCAGCTGGCTTTGGAGGGCACTCCAGGGAGTGGTCTGCAAGCTCCAAGCCAGCCTGCCCTCACTGGCATCTTGTTTGAGGTTACAAGCACCCTACTAAAAATTAGCTTTTGTAAAATGGAAATAATTGTGGTAGAGAGCTGTGGGGATGAATAGCTTCATCCAGCAGGGAGCCAGAATTTATTAGAAGAGCCTTTCCAGCTGTAGAGACACAGTGTCTCC